TGTCATACGGGACATATTTGCCCTCATGATAACGTTAGATAAACGTCGATATTTTTTTCTTGTATTTCTAAGGTCATCCTGATATATAACATAAGTAATTGGTCGCTTCCAGAGTACAACGGCCCTTTCCCTGCTTGGTGTCACGTGATTGGTTGGTTGTTCATAGCGGGTACGCTAGTCTTCATACCAGGTGTTCCGATTTACGACATGCTGCGTTCATCCGGATCATTTCGCGAGGTTTGTTTAATAGCAAGTAGCTACAAGTAGGACAGTGGGGCTTTAATAGCAATGACTATAAGAAATATTATTTATGGTACGTTAATAAACACGTTATTTTCATGCCTCAACAATAACTCACCATCTTGCAAACTTCTGCCTTTCATGTTATATGGAATATATACCAAAGGATTCAAGATTAATTATTGAACTGTTTCAAGTGCAAGATGCCGGGTTAAAACCGTTGTCATCATAAGAAAAGCCTGGAAATTGAAAAGGCCGAAAATGCTTAATTTCGCAAAGCCATTGTGTTGCACAATGCAATATTTCCGTCAATAATATTGGTGCTATTGTTTTGTGGAAAAATTTACGTGTGACAATTAAGCTAGGTTATTAGAGATTGTGCGTCAATGGAATACTTTTGGGGGACATTGGCAAACATTGAGTTTTTGCAAATTTCAAAGAAAGAAGAGTAAAGGTAACAACTATCGCGAAACTTCCACGACTTGTGAATGCGTGTAGTGTTTGTGAAAATAGGGTACTTGCATTAATGTGTACACGATATGGTTACATTTAGAACCCGTGTTGTATATGTTTTAAGCATCTAGGGTCCTATTTTATGGACAATGTTATTTGATATGCAAAATAGAGGGATACTTCGGGCACTGCTAACGATCACCTATAAATATAGAGTAATACAATCGGGTATTTAATAAAAACTAATGAGTGCTATTTTTTGGACTCTGCAGCGTCTTCGCCGGCTTTGTCAAATCGATCCCAGCTGGGGACCCTCCCAGCCCGAGGACCGCCTGCTCGCTTACAGGATCCACGAGGAGTATGGGACCACAATGGGCGGAGTACTTGATATCGATGATCAGGAGATGACAGAGAAAAAAGGCAATATCGACTTCGAGTTAGAACCTTTCAAGACTGATGTGAGCCGAAATCATGGCAATGAAAATCACGATAATGGGCAGTATGGTCGGTTAGATCAATAGCTTTTGTGATCTTGATAATGACAATGGCAGATCTCTCTCTCTTTCTCTCTGCTTCTCCTCCCCTCTCCCACCCCCCATTCTCTCTTCTCTCCCTGTATATCTGTCTCTTTCTCTCTCCCCTCCCCCTCCCCTTTCCCCCTCTCCATCTGATTTTGGAGCCGCGTTTAAAACGTGACTTTTATTTTCCTACACCATTTATACTTTTTTATCATAAATCAGGCAATTGATTTTTGTGATTGGAATTCGCCGTGCTTACATTTTGGGAACGCCTTATAAATATATTTGTTAATGTTTGTTGTGTCAAATTATTGGTGCTAAGTAAATTAACAGGTAAATCGCGTATATATGTTGGTACTGTAAATAATATAATACTGTTTTCGTCTAAAATCGATTATCGTACAGCTTTAAACGATTGCTTCCAGAATTGTCTTATGGTGACCTGAACGACATTATTACCTGTCAAGAAATTTCTAAAATAATTTGTATGACCATCAAGGTTATTCTGTTATTGTAAAAACACTTATTATTGTACATTTTTGGTCTCGTTGAAAATAACTTCTAATAATTTGTAACACGAATTAGTTTAGTTGCAAGAATAAAACTAACTTGGTGTATTTATGACGTCGTGTATGGTGTTTAAAATTTGTGAGTGTACGATTTTCTTTTGTTTGTTTGAGGGGAGGTTTAAAAAATATATAACATTGTTATTAATCATCCAAAAAATTATTTTCTATGAAAAAAATTTAAAGGGCAATGGCGATTCCGCATGGTGTTTGATATTGCAAATCTTAGAGAAATATAAACACGTAATTATATTTGGTAAGATCATTGGTAAAATCCAGAGGAACGTGGGGAAACCGCCCTAAATAAAATGGAAGGGTGAAAACGACATCAAATGCCGAACCTCCCCTTAGTTATCTTTCTAATAGATCTCAATATGTATTTTATAATAATTCCTCAATTTTTTTTCCATTACACAAGGCGTACCACAATGTTCTATCCTAGGTCCTCTACTGTTTTAAATTTACATTAATGATCTTACACATACTTCTGAAAAATGTAATAACATTAATGATGTACGATGACGATAGCATTTTAATTTACACTGAATTAGACAAAGTAACAAAATGGTTCAAATCAAATAGATTTTTGATAAGGTTCCATTAAATAAGGTTAACAGTGTTAATTTTCTTGGTGTTTTATTGTTTATAGTATGCAATGGGACAATCATGTAAATTAAGTCACTCAAAAGGTATCTAAATATATTGGTATATTTAAGGATGTACGCTGACGATACCATTTTAATTTACACTGAATTAGACAAAGTAACACAATGGTTCAAATCAATTAGATTGTTGATAAGCACTGGCGTACTAGTGGTTGGGGGGGGGGGGGGGCTTGTGGGCGCCAGCACCCCCCAAATAAAAATGATATTTTGATAATGTACTGAAATTGTTTTGTCGGTGGGTGTTATGTGTACATGTGTGTGTATGTTCACGCTCGCTGCGCTGATTTCTGCTCTCATATTCAACAGCGAATTGCAAAATAAATACCAAAATAAATACCAATATTTTTGTTTAATATATGTAACTGCTCGGAATCTGTTATTGTGTTCAAATGGTTGGAGTGGTATCAACTGTGAATATCTTGTTTCAACCATACTTTTTCCACGGGACGTCCCTCCCATTCTCTCTCTCTCTCTCTCTCTCTCACTCTCTCTCTCTCTCTCCCTCATAACTCTTCCTCATAACTCTTTCATCTCTCTCTCGATCTCTCTCTATCCTCCTGCTCCTTTTATTTGTATGAATCGCTATGACGTTTGAATATTATATTAATTATTGAGTGGGCTTATTGTGCTTTCTAACGGATCCCTACAGCATGGCAGATCCACTGAGGGGCCTGGCAGAGCAGGATCCCAGGATGTTCTCGAGTTTATTTGACTTTCAAGAGAGAATTTTTTTTTTTTTTTTAGAGAGAAAAAGAGGTTATTTCTAAAATAAAATGAAAGGGCTCTTGAAAGTCAAATAGCCCTTTCATTTCCTTTTAGAAATAACCTCTCTTTACCTCTAAAAGACAATTTTATGAGGTGGAATGTTCAATCTGAGGGCTTTTAGTGCTCTTCAAAAAGAGCACACAATGGGGGCAGTGCAATTTGAACTTCATGAGTATGAAGGCATTTATCCAGACCTTCACAAAATAAATTTGTATGACTATAAGGGGATCTGTAAATGTTCATTGAAATAAAATGCGACACCCCCTCTTATTTCTCAGTGATCTAGTCTGATCAATGTGTAATTTTGCAAGTTAAATAATTTTGCAAGTTAAAATCTATATTGTGTGCCCGTTTGATAAATAAATATAGGAGTACTTAGCTTTCGTGGATGCTCGCGGTTACGAACAAGAAAAGTTATTTTACAAAAAGGTAATGGGTTTCGTGGAGAAACCTGCGACTGGAATAACATAAGGCAAACTCCCTGAACTTGATACACGTAGTGCACTGTCTGTGAATTTTAAGCCAAAAATAAGGAGTACATAATGTATACTCGTTTTTAGGCAAAGGGTGTTCTTGAAAATCAACAAATGGGGGGGGGGGGTCATTTTTTTTCTCCACTAACGGCACCCCCCCCCCCTCAATACGAAGTGACACATCCTGGGGTGTCAAATCACCGAAATATTTAACTTTAAACCCACATGTTCCTACACGAATATGGGGGTAACTGAGGCCTTACAGCCTAGTATAGTTAAATTATCCGTGTAATGTTGCCTGAATAAGATGTTCGGGAATTACAGATGTTACGCACAATGGGTATTATACTGTTTTGAATACTTCTGATTGTAATTTTTTTTTTACTTGACTAGTCAAGAAGTGCGACGGAGCAGAAGATTTGTGACGAAAAGGTCAATATTTTTTGTAAACGTCAGCGTTTAAATCATTTAGACGATTATGTTGTGACTCTCCAAAATTGAGGACGATCCCTTTTTCTAGAAAGGTGCCTCTTGCCTTGAATTACCGATTCCCGAATTTCGTAACAAAGACCCCCCCCCCCCTACTCTCTCTCTCTCTCTCTCTCTCTCTTTCTCATTAGGGACTTTTAGATTTGCGTGGACTGATACGTGTGACGTCCATTCAAGGCAGTGCATTAAAAGGACGTCGATCGTAGCAATCCACGTAGTCGTTGTGCAAATCTAAAAGTCCATATTATCTCTATAACTAGTGTAAGCACACTATTTAATATCTGCCTTTGTGATGTTTTTCAAACAGTTAAAGATAAACTCGAGTTCTGGTAAAAACAAGAAAATGAATTCCCACAAAATCATACGTAACTTACACTGAATATTCAAGATTACAAATAAATGTCATTTGTCAAACAATTATGGTAGAAAATGTATACTGGCTGAGTAATGAGCATAGAAAGATGGGTAAATCAAGGTAAGTAGGCCCGATACCATTTGCGTAGTCCCGTATACATCTGTCTGTATACAGTGCTTGTTACTTTATCAAGACTGGGCCAACTTTATTATGACTTTGATGACTCCATAACCTTGCAATACACACCAATACTTACATGGTACATGATCAACTTTTTTCTGATCCACACCTTTTCTTCAACAATGCAATCGCATGACCAGAACTCAACTTTATCTTTAACGAATCTTCTATAACTCTATGAAGAAAAAAAATATAGAAAAGAAATGTATGTAGTTTTCATAGTTCGGGCACTGCAGAGCTGACCTTTTAAAAAGCAGACAAATGATAGAAAGAACCGCCCGAATAAGAACTGTTGACTGGATCAGGCTGTTCGCTCATTCAAACCATGAACCACCCAACCGTGCCCCTCTGTTGCCTGTGCAATGTGTCACGTATGGTATGTAAACAGTGAACGTTCCAATCACTTCTCCTAGTCCGTACTACCAACTAGTTTATGTTCTCTAGATCCTCCGAAACTGCATGCCCAACAACATGGACGACTCCAGCGGAGAAACGAAAGATCAACCAAAGTTTGGACATTTGAAGGTAAGATTCCCCCAAAATCATCATATTGGATTTGTATCAAGGGATGATAGGCAGCTTCATTGGAGGAATTTGTTTCGCCTTGCAGAGTTGGGATCGCACAAGATTTCTAACCGAAGACAAAAATGGGCGTGGTATTAAAAAAACGCGTCGAAATGCCCCAGCGACAGTCACTCCAGGCATCCATGGTTGGGGTGCGATAGGGTTTTAATGTTTAGATGAGCGTTAATGTTATAAGCATAGGTTAGGTAAAGGTATAGACCAGTTCTGGTCATGCGATTGCTTTGTGACAGAAACGTTGTGGAATCGATCAGAAAAGGTTGATCATGTAGCATATCAGTATTGGTGTGTACTGCAAGGTTCTGGAATCATCAAAATGATAAGAAATTTGGCCCAGTCTTGATAAAGTTACAAGCACAGACACAGAAAGATGTATATGGAACTACGCGATATCTATCCAGTCCGGATAGATATAATAATTTACCAAATATATCAATGAGTAGGCGGTTTCCCGACAAAATGTGTATCATCACGTATTAGTCAAAACATATTCTTTCACAAGTCATGATTGGTAATAATAGCTTCCATTTCAGTTTTTGAGAGGGGGCGTTTTCAAAACTGGTCTTTACCTTTAAGTGTTGGATCCATGGTTGCAGTTAGGAATTCGATAAGTGTAGGAAAGGGAATTTGTACAAAACTGTAATAAGCTAGGAAGACGAACGCTGGATTCGTGTTCAGGAAAGATATGTAAGCATTATTCATGTATGCACCGTCGGGACATTCTATATATGAAACACAGGTGGGAGTATTCTTTTCAGGAGGCAAAACAAAAGGTATTTGTGAAGCACCTCCATCACTTTGGCAGTAATAATTCTAAAAATGCACACAGTAGGACTTCTCTATGTTGAAAAGAAATGTCAATGTTTTGGTGGTCATTTGTGCAAGTGCTGCAGTTAAAGGTAAAGACCAGTTATGATCATGCGATTGCATTGTGAAAGAAACGTTGTGGAATCGATCAGAAAAGGTTGATCATCTAGCAGCATCTGCAAGGTTCTGGAATCATCAAAATGATAAGAAATTTGCCCCATTCTTCGTAAAGTTACTAGCACTATACACAAAAAGATGTATATGGGACTACCCTATATCTCTCACAGACCATGAGAGAAACAAATTTACCAAATATATGAATTAGTAGGCGATTTCCCGGCAATTTTGTTATCATCATGTATTAGTAAAAACATATTCTTTCACATGATTGGTAATGAGAGCTTCCATTTCATTTTTTGAAATTGGGGCGTTTCCAATACTGGTCTTTACCTTTAAAAACTAAGGTATTCATACCCCTTTTTTATAGGTGATTAGGTGTGTGTGCGCATTGGCGTACGCAGGATTTTCTCGAGAAGGGTGTTTGAAAATGTGAAAATCTTGCCGACCGATATTTCGCTAAGTGGGGGGGGGGGGGGGTAATAGTTTTTTCCGTTTTTGCCCCCCGAAATTTGAAAATCGCGCCTCTTGATATTTCGCGCCGTCAGGGGGTAGTGAGTAACATTTTCATATTGCTCCGATTGTCTCATTTTCGCTCGCGTGAACATTGCCAGCACAAACCACTGACCTCTACTTCCTGTACGGATCATCGCCCATTCCCATTCATTATACGTTATGTACTAAAAGGCTGTATTGTCTGACTGTTCATGAATATTCATGTTTTTGCTTACCTCGGCTAAATGTTTGCTTTTACTAAATTGAAAAATTACGGTGGGGGGTTGGATGAAATGGACATAATGAAATAGGCAGAAGTGATCTATGATAATTCATGCTTTTTATGTTTCGTGTGCTCGACCTATAATCTTCAAATCGCTTGGCAAACTGATTCCAAAGTTAGACTTGTTTCACATGTGTATTATAGGCAATGACGAGCTTGCAACCTATTTTGAAAAATTACGGTGGGTGAACTTTCAAAAGTCAATGAGACATGAGGGCTCCAATGAAAGAGCTAGTGATAACGTACGTCGGGGTGGATGTGCTTTTCGTTTAAACAAAAAATGAATTTTTAACGATTTTAAAAAAAAACGTCCATAGGCTAACATGTTATCTGACCATGCTCTGACTATAGGGGGCGTTGTGAAATGAGACTAAACGGAGCAATATGTGCTTTCTTTTTTGCCCCCCCCCCCCCGTTATTTGAAAATCGCACTGACAGTTATTGCGCTCAGTTGGGGGGGGGGGGGTATGGAGCATCATTACATGTTTATTTGGCATAGGTAGACATTATTGAACGTTTGAGTTTGGTTTTAAATGAAGTAACATTAGTGCTAAAAATTACATCAGAAGGAAGGGAATTCCATAATTCGAGGACCGGTAGATTTAAAGGCAATTTGGATTTCATGAATATCAAAAATTGTCAATGTGTTTAATTTTGCAAATATTGGGCGTGACGGAGCTAATTAAGGGGAATCGGGGAAAATAAATATAGGGAAGTATTAAACAATTATAAAGCATTAACAGGTGCTTTTCTGTAAGGTTACTACGTAATTGAGATAATATACCTATGTTCCTTGACGTCTTATTACTTATAAAGAAACGGTTCCTTCAATGATAGATTATCATCAAGTATAAATCCTAAGAGTTTGACAGAGTTAACCAAATTTAAAGTTACATCTTTCATTTTCATATGAAAATCTAAAGGATTGTGATACAAGAGGTTTTCGAAAATATATAACATTAGTTTTCTCATAATTAACAATCAGTTTGTTGGCGTCGAACCAATCGGCTATTTTACAAAATTCATTTTTTTTTCCATCCAAAAATGAAGTTGCTATTGGTTGAAATGATAATTGTATCGTCTGCAAATAAGACATAATCAAAACATACATAAATCTTTAATATAAATTAGGAAGAGGAGCGAACCCAATATGGAGCCTTGGGGGACACCATATTGGGCTGTCGAGTATTGTGAATTATAATTATTACATGAAGTTTAGTTACGTCGATCAAGTAAGTAGCTCCGGAACCATTCGCACACTGCTCCCCTGATACCATAATGGGATAATTTATATGAAAGTATGTTATGGTCTATGAGGTCGAAGGCTTTTGACAAGTCTAGAAATATACCAAATGAGTGATTATTATTATTAATATTAGATAAATGAGTGTAATTTAAATCAATCAATGCATGCTGACAGGAATGTCCTGCCCTGGAGCCATACTGACAATTATTTAATATTTTATTTCTATCCAAATAAGAAATTAGTCTTTTATAAACAATTTTTTCCAGGATTTAAAAAAGACATGGTAATAATGGAATTGGTCGATAATTATAATATATAAAGTGTCTGTCGCCTTTTTAAATATAGGAATGATCTGTCCAATTTTCAAATTATTAGGTACTACTCCTGAACATAAATATAGATTAAATATATGGAATGGATTACATAGAATGGATTACATCTGCAACTGTTGACCGGGTGGTGAGACAAAAGGGCGCATGAAATATCCGGATTTAGAATGCCTACATCAGAAAATGGTATCGCAGCAAATGTTTGCTGTCCCTTTCAATGATTTCTCATCAATTATTGAATGTGTAATGAGTTTGAACAAGCGAACACAACTTTTTTTTGTAATTTCATACCTTTTTTCTAACTGTAAAAATACAAAAAGCACACTAAAGAAAGCATTAGCAAACTTTAAGTTATCGAAGATTGTAAATCATGGAATAAATGACGGGAGATTAAAACGTGCAAAAATAATCGGATTATCCTAAAATATTGAGTTTTTGTCAGGATCTACTTTTTCATTTACCAACGCTGCCACACAAATTATAGGAAGGGCGGAGTACTTAATTGAAAAATTGTTTGATGAACTATATATTCCCAATACAATTCTATTATTAAGTTTATAATTGACACTAAAATTTTGCCGGTAATTTAATAATTGTGAAACTGGTGCCTGGCCTCCGAAATTCCCTGCAGTGGAGTTCGGCGCATGGAACTTCAAAGCCAAGAGGAATCTTACGCTTCCCATTGTTACACTTTAGAACTTACACATGCGTTTGATTAAATTAGAAGAGTGTCCACTCCTTCTCTATCACCTCCCTTGTCAAAGGTACGCAAGACACGTTCCTTGGTGGGCTTTTCAACTGTGCCAAGGGGGGTTTGCTTGTACAGAAGTTGTAAAAAATCCATTACCCTTTCTTGTGATGCCAATATTCCTAATAAATTCATATTTTATGAATGAAAAGTATTGTAAAATATAGGAATGAGATTCCTTTTGACTTTTTACGATTCTGTTCATGGTTCGTTTACCATTGTTAAAATTGGATCAGATCCCGTATAAAATTTGGAATTTCCTCCAAAAGGTCCATAATAAAGTAGCATTATGATAATTCATAGATATTGCAAAGGCTTGATACATGCTCTCAATAGTGATATGAATTGACCATAATAAACATATTTCTAGGAATGGCAATGTGTGATTGAAAATATCTTGTCTGTTATTCACATGTAAGTACGTTGGCACATCAACAGTTAAAGGGCAATTTAGCTCTTGCAATAGGTTCATTTGTATGAAAACAAAATGGTGAAAGTTTGAAATACATCTGACAAATAATATCGGGGTTATGATTGATTGAAAAAACGAGATCACTAAATCTATGCGAAGCTAAATTTGGCAAATTGGTCAGTGATTTTTTTCTGTAGTTTCTCCTAGAGTAGTTGTCTGTCATGGTTGGATTCCCCTTTTCTTCCTATAAAAGCCACAAAAGTCACAAAAGCGGATCACTGCATCTTTACGAAATGCTGTAGACTAGAACTAGACCAAAAACAGACCGAAAAATAAACATTATAAAAGAAAATAGCTTATCGGTGGTTTTTTAATATGTTTGAAGGTGCGGAGTTTAAGCCACTTCGGAGATAGTGTTTGATTTGTATAAATCAAATAGTGTATACAAAAAACGACATATTTTCCATGATACCACTCAATCACTCGCAGCGTATTCTATACCATCTGAGAACCATTCTTCCTGCTTTCTTTGTGTATTGAACCCCAGGCTATTTCGCCCTTAATACCCTTCAGCTTGGCCTACTTGGTTCATGATTGAGTGCTCATGCGGGAAGGACTTCGTACTAAACCAGTTTAGTTTAGTTCTTTTATATTCAACAAGTCCACACTTCCATAAGTATGTTTTATTGGAATCCTAATAGACTGATGAGAATAATTATAAGGTATACACTAAAGATATACTACATCTAAAAGTTGTCTAAAGACATACTTCTCATACTATATCTAAATATACTTCAAGATACTTGTCCAAAGTATACTTAAAGATTTGATATATCTAAATATATACTTAAAGACGTATGTATGTTCATAAATATCGGATGCATGTGAGCAAAATCTACATTGTATAATCGTGGTGAGCAATCGAAGAGGAAAAACAATTTATATATAGGCCCTTTGGCAAGTCCACAAAAAGTATTTTGGGTCACTTTGCGTCCAATAATGCTACCAAGTTTTGGAGACGTAGGAACATAAACATTGTCACCTTGTGTATTAAACTTTATTATTTTGTGTGTGTGATACTAGCTAAAGAATGGATATTGAATAAATGTGATAACAACGGTGACAATGTATATGGAATATGGCTTTTATACATGAAAAGTGAAAAAGTGTGTGAGGGTGTGTGTGTGTGTGTTTAGAAAGAGGGAGAAAGAGAGGGGGAGGGAGAGAGAGGGGAGGGAGAGAAAGGGAGTGAGAGAGAGGGAGTGAGAGAGGGAGGGAGGGAGGGAGGGATGGAGATATATATATGGAGAGAGAGAGAAAGAGAGATATAGAGAACGGGGGGAAGAGGATAAAAGGCAAGAAAAAGTGGCGCCACATGTTGTTATACATGCATTATAGTCCTGTCGCTAATCGACCAATAATCATGATAATTACAAAGTTTTGGCAAGCTGACAATGTTTAAAGTAATTATTGTCTTGTCAGTCTGGGCATCATTTAATGAAACGAAAGTACAAGTTTAAGTACATTTCATTGAAACGCGTATTAATTTTGATTCACATATCTCTATGGGAAATCGGCGATCTTGTACTGATGCCAGTAGCGACGTTCATCTTATAGCTCATGAATAGTGGGGCAAGTTGAGGTAGATATAGTCAGTTGGTGTCCGTTCTGAGAAAGAGAAAGAGAGTGAGAGAGAGAGAGAGGGGGGGAGGGGGGGGAGAGATAGAGAGATAGAAAGAAAGACAGACATGGACAGAGAAGGTAAATGAACACGACCTCTATCTCCCTTGAATCACTTTTTCTGCTCCAATTAATATATTCAAACTCGTTCTTTCTTCCATCTAGGATGCAGGTGGCCGCCGGGATGATGTCAAAAGAGAAAACTGGGGCGGTCGTTTTGACTTCGCTCTATCTTGCCTGGGCTACGCCGTGGGGCTCTCCAATATTTGGCGCTTTCCCTACCTGTGCTACAAAAACGGAGGAGGTAAGGAATGACACGACCAAACGAAAATGACAGATACCCTAGTCCTAACCTTACTACTAGACCGAGATCAGGTGGCGTTTCACGAAACGGTCATCAGTACGAGTTCACATAGAAACGTGTGTATTCAATTTAAACCGCGTTCCATTGAGATGTACTCGGAATTGTACTTGTAACCGTTTATAGTCTCAACAAGACAATAGTTATGCAGTACTTGAAACATTGTCAATTTGCCGAAACTTTGGAATTATTAGGGCTGTTGGTCGATTGGCGGCAGGGTAATTTAATGCATGTATAACAACATGTGGTGCCACTTGTTCTTGTCTCTTATCCTCTCTCTCTCTCTCTCCCCCTCTCCCTCCCTCCTCTCTCTCCCTCCTTCCCTCTCTCTCTCTCCCTCCCTCCCCTCTCTCTCCCTCCCTCCCCCTCTCTCTCCCTCCCTCCCCTCTCTCTCTCTCTCTCTCCCTCCCTCCCTCTCACTCTCCCTCCCTCCCTCCCCTCTCTCCCTCCGTCCCTCCCTCCCCCTCTCTTTCTCCCTCCCCCTCTCTTTCTCTCTCTTTCGACACACACACCTTTCTCTTTTTATGTATAAAAGTCATATTCCATATACATCGTTACCGGCAATATCACATTTATTTGATATTCTTTCTACAGCGAGAAACACACACACAAAACAATAAAGTTCAATACACAAGATGACAAATTATGTTTTTAACTTTCCAAATGTTTGTAGCGTTCATTGGACACAAAATGACCAAAAATACTTTGTTTAGACTTGCTATAGGGCCTATATATTGTTTTCCTCTTCGATTGCTTTATGCATTTTATATTTGAAAACATACGTATAGGCCTATATATATAAATATATATATTTAGATATAGTATTATATATGAAATATGTCTTTAGACAAGTTTTAGATGGGGTATATATTTAGTGTAGACATTATAATCATTCTCCAACACATCAGCCTAAAAGGATTCCGATAAAAAATACCTATTGAATTGTGGACTTGTTGAATATAAAAGAACTAAACTAAATTGGTTTAGTGCGAAGCCCTTCCCAAATGACCACTCAATCATGAACCAAATAAGCCAAGCTTAAGGTTATGAAGCGCATTCATTTTTGTCGTTGGCAAGCCATGTGAAAAGAGATCGGTTGGTTGATTTCCAATGCCGCATGCGACAAAAATTGTAAAGAAATCTTTAATTCTTTGAAGCTTTGAAGCTTTATTCCTTTGAAGGAAATGAAACCCTCCCCCCCCCCCCCCAAAAAAAAAACGCACCTTAGAACGACGGATTAAATGTCGCATTTTATGTATTATTTTAGCCATTTATTGAAGGCGTCGTGGCGTGGGCCTGTAGTCCAGCTAACAAAACTGATTCAGCCGAGGACGCGCAGATTCGAAACTGAGTAACGTCTTTCGGATGGTGACGTTTAAAGGTCGGTCCCCACTCCCCAGACGTAAATAATCATATCTGATCGATACACCTCTGTAAAACCCAATACACACACAGGAGCTCTTAACGAAGCTTCCATTAGGCCCCAAAAATCATTTGGTTGTCCTCGATTGCTTTTCTGGAGAAGGGACGGGCGGGCGTTTTTTTTTTTTTTTTTTTTTTGGGGGGGGGGGGGTCTTTTTTTGATTTTTTTTTTTCCCCATTTAATAAAAAAAAAATTATAAAATTGTTTTTCAATAAAATGAAAAAATCATCGGGATGTCAAGCATTTAAACAAACGAAGTCAATAAAACACTTGAAAATGGTAAAAGACTATTTTAATGTACAATGAATATCAAGACCAACACAGAAAGTATTTTTGGCTTTGAAATACATCACATTTTAATTCCCCACTGTACTACTTACAGCTACTTGCGCCCTCTATATAGCAAACAATGCCTAATCGGTGACCATTAGTCCCCCGTGATCCTCTTCATCTTATGTTAACTGAGAGCTGATTTGATGAGATTACCACATGTCCAGTGGCCTTGCAGGGTGGTCTAATCCCTCCTGTAAACTAGTACAGATGAGCCTTAAAATGAGTTAAAGAATGCTCAAAACCTGATTTGAGTGAAAGGCATTTTTTCATAGAAAAAAAAAATGGCAAGTTTAATAATTTTTATCCTTGCAAAATGCATAAAATGATGTTTTGCGTTTAAGATTGCTCCCCCCCCCCAAAAAAAAAAAAAGACGAGCGGGCGGTCGAGGACAACCAAATGATTTTTTTTTTTTTGGCCTTTAAGGAGAGAACTCTCTTCTTCACAAAAGCTGGTGGTCATTACTCTGGTTCGAAAAGAGGAGAAAATAAGGGCCATTACACATTGCGAATTATAGCCCTATATCCCTAATAAATGTAGACTGCAAAAAGTTCTTTTAGCAAAGAATTAAGCCTTGAGTTTGACATGAAATAATCAAAGTAGACCAGGTAGAATATTTGACATACATTAATATTGGTGAGGCCATCAGACTTATAGATGACCAAATTTTTCATAATTATAACGCACAAGAAGATTGCTGGAAATTTGTTGGCGATAGATTTTGAAAAAGCTTTCGACTCCGTGTCCATTGTTTTTTGTTTTTACAAGAGGTGTTTTAATATCCCTTGGATTTTGACCATCTTTTAGTAAAAAGGGTAAAGGCTCCAGTGTACTACAACTCAAAGTTGTGTTTTTAATGGCAATGTATAAACCGGTTATTTTGATATTTAGAAAGGATTAAGGCAAGGGGACCTATAATCCTTTACTTTCTTTTGCATGATCGTATTAATAAAGTGTTTTCACATTCTGTTTGTATTGTAATAGTTACATTGTACTTTCATCTGTGTAAAATAAATATTACGAGGGAAATTCGTGAATAATAAGCTTAAAGTAGATATTCATAGATTATTGCAAAGTTGAAACTTTGATTTGACAAGGTTATCAAAATTCAATGCTTGGAAACATTCGAAGTAATGATTATTATAAATTACAAAACGCTTAAATACAGCCCCGGCATAGCACCTGAAGAGCTCTCCGAACGCTGCTGAGATGTGTGAGATCACAGTATGGACATGATTTGCACAAGCAGACCATGTCCCATGACATCTCACACATGTTCAGTGCCTGTGTTTTCATCTTCTCTTAAGTTATTTCTCTTACTTCACTACCGTCAGGCTAAATGAATAATCTATTGCCTCACTCTAAACCCCGCGCATGGTTTTATTTTGATGACAAATGCAGCGATACAAAAATAAAGGAATCTGTCGCTTGTAAACAAAATAAGACGCCATTGTATATTCAACTGCACACACCGGGGTATGTTCGGCGTTTCAAGAGGAAACAAATGCCGTCCTTAATATCATTCCGGGGGGTTTTCAATTTGAAAGTCTGGTTTCTTTGATTGTTAATTAACCCCTATCCTGTGTATTTACAAGCAAAAGATTTTAGTTATCAGAATCGGGTCATATCCCCTTTTGAATGGTTTGACATGCCATTACATTTACATACACTAAACTCATTATAATTTGAGAAATAATAGCTTTGCAATTATGTTCATTCTCTAGGGGATGTCGTCTGCTTGGGCAGTATTGGTCCATAAAGTGACGTCATTAAAACATCGTTATTTTTTCCGGCGAATCTCTCGTATATCCCAGCTGCTATGGAGGTGGATGCGTTTGTATTTTTATAAATCACCCGATATGTAGTTGACCTAAAACTTGTACGATGGCCATCTGTTAGCTTACCAGTTTCTAGTAATACATTAGTTGACACATTTATGATTTTCTTTGAATTTCACCTTTAAGGTTTTGAAGGGCGAAATAGCCTTGAGTTCAAAACACAAAGAAAGCACCAAGAATGGTTTTCTGATACAAAGAAAGCACCAAGAATGGTTCTCAGATGGTATAGAAAACACTGCGAGAGATTTATGGGCATCAAAAAAAATATTTTTTTTTTTGTATACACTAGAAGAAAAATGGTTTTATCCTCAAACTTAAACTTGATTATGTATTTATGCATTTGTAAAGAATCGAGTTGAACAAGGGTCTCACTGGGTCGGGTTTGACTGAATAGACCATTTTCGTATGTAACGTATAGTGAATGGAAATGGGCGATGATCCGTTCAGGAGGTAGAGGTCAGTGGTTCGTGCTGGCAATGTTCACGCGAGCGAAAATGAGACAATCGGAGCAATATGAAAGAGAGAGAACGGAAGAGAAGGGAAAGGGAAAGAAAAGAAAGGTACGGGAGATCAATTGTGATTTTTCCCACCACGCGGTGTGGATCGGGGGCGAAAGGCCTTTGCCTGCCCTCCCCTGGCAAACAAAAAGAGAGAGAGAGAGAGAGAGAGAGAGAAGGAAGGAAAAGAAGGGAAAGGGAAAGAAGAGAGAAGAGGAAGAAAAGAAAAAGGAGAAAAGAAGGAGATCGGGGGGCGGAAGGGCCTTGCCGCCCATGCTGTTGCCTCACCCCCCCCCCCCGCAAAACAAGAGAGAAGGAAGGAAAGGGTAAGAAACAAAAGAAGAAAAAAAAGAAGGGATATCAGTTGGGAAAGAGGAGAGCTAAAATGGAACACAAAAGAGGAAGAAGAAAAGAAAAGGGTGAAAAGAAGCAGAGATCAGTTGCGATTAATCCCACCAAAATCGTGTGGATCGGGGGGAGGGGGCGAAAGGCCCCTGCCACCCTCAGCAAACTTAAATGAGAGAGAGAGAGAGAGAGAGAGAGAGAGAGAAGTAAGAGAAGTGAAAGGGAAAGAGGAGAGAAAGGGACAGAAAACAAAGATGAAGAAAAGAAAAGGAATTAGGGAAGATCAGTTGCGATTTTCATTGGTTCTTCTATCATCATTTTACAATTATCATTGTACAAATGTATTTATATATTCATTTATTTATTCCTGTTTGATAACAAAAATATGAATATAAACTCATAAACTCATAACAGCAACAAAATTAAATGTAGGAGGAAACTATCTTGCTGGGAGCAAGAAGCGCAAAAATTATCATGCATTTGCATGTACATGTCAGTGTATCATTAAT